ATTCCCTTCTTGATAAAAGATATGTGGTTTCTCTTACTGGTGCATTACCAACAGACTCATGACTCTAGGTTTAACTATTTATGCATCTGGCTTCATGTTCTTTTGGCAGTTCGGCTACCACTGTTACCGTTCACCCTCTGAAAAACTGGGGATTCTATATGCCTCATGGCCTCCTACCCACTCTAAACTCATTCCGTCTGCCTGCACTGTCCTGTTAGAGGGACTCTAGAGCTCATCTAGCCACATGCCTACATATGTCAGGTTGGAACAAGAGGCCAGAGTGGAAAGGGCACCAAGACCACAATGTAAGTTAGAAGAAACCTGGAGTCAGCATCCATGTCTTCCAACTCCCCATCTCCCTCATTCCCCATTGCCCCACATTTGCACGTCCCTGACAAGGGAAAGGGGACCCACAGGCAGCATGGAATCTCCTTCTTTTCCATATATGAAATCTCTTTCCACCCAGAACACAATAGCTACTATTTATTTCCAGCTCACTCTGTACTGCTGTGTGCTTCCACACAGCACCTCCCTGAACCTCCCTCCCTGGGGATGTGTAGCCACTGTCCCCACCTTATAGGTAAGGAAATGAGCTCAGAGATATGAAGGGACTTTCCCAAAGCCACAGAGCTACTGTGTGACCAAACTGAAATGAAAACCAGAACCTTTTGGATATTTCTGATCTCCCTGTTTCTAGCCAGTACTAACAATAAGACCCCCAGGCAATTTCCTTAAAACCCTCAGCTTGCAGGGTATAGCCCCTCCCACACAACAGGACAGTCTTTGGCTAATGACACACTGTTCAGATCTTTGGCGGGGTCCTGTTGCTCACTGCCAGTGCTTTGGCCCTGCTTTGTGCAATGCCCCTCAGGGTCTATTCCCTCAATGACGTTCACTCTTGAAGGCCTTAGCAATTCTTTGGTTTTCTCCAGATGCTGGGGCCAGAGCAAAAGGTCCATAGAAACATGGATGGGGGATGAGGGGACTATCATGTTGGGGGAGGATCATGTAAAAGTGTGAATAGTGATGAAGCTATAATTGGCTTCCTCTTTCAGAGCCTGGGTAACTGCAGGCCCAGGCGTTGGGGCTAATTGTTGCAGGCAATTAATAACTTGGATTGTATTCACTCTGGTACAGGCTGTCTGCTTCCTTGGAGGAGGCAGGCAAGGCTGTAAGGGAGTGCTAAAGGCCTGTGGCTTGCAGAATTCTGGAGGAGGCAGGAGTGGAGGGTTACCATCTGTCCAGCCTTCCCCAGGCCCTGCCTGCAGTGCCCCACCCCAGTCTGGCCCTATCACCTCTCCCCAGACCTTTCTGTCTTCTCTTGTCTCCTTTATCTTCTTTCCCCATAAACTCATACTCACCTCCTGAACAGAGCTCTGGGGAGAAGAGGGCTGAGGAGAGAAAAGATGATGCCTTGGGAGAAGCTCAGGACTAAAACATGGGAGGCCTGGATCCAACCCCAGCTCTTCCACTCATTTGCCCCATGATCTTGAATCAGAAATTCATTCACCATGAACTAGGGTAAGACTAATGAGCTCTTTTGTATCCATTATATCACATGAAGTGCAATCAGCCCTGAAAGTCATGGAAGCAGGGGTTGACCGTTGTATCTATCATACATCTAACTCCATATAACTATAACATTATAAATATATAACTATATCATGACCAATTATCAAATTATTACCTATAGGTCTGTGCTCTATCTCAGTTGAAAAGATACTTGCAGGTGTATCACAGGCAGAGGTCATTATACTCCCATTTTGCAGTTGAGGAAATTGAATCTCAGAGAAATGAAGTGACTTGCCTAAGGTCCTACAGTTAATAAGAGACACATAGGAAAATCAAACTCAGTTTCTTAAATCTAGAGCTTTTTCCAGCACACCCCAGTTCACTTGCCTCTACCCAATGGCTTCCTGGAGAAGGTGAGATTGGAGGTTGGGGCCAAGAGCTCCAGGTCAGTGTGCTAGCAGATTGAAGAGAAACTAACTTACAAATGTTAATTACTCTATTCACTGATGCTGAGACAATGGAACAACTGTCTTCATCTACCCATTTTTAAAGATAAACACCTCCCACCGTCCCTATATACTGGTCCCTTCAGCTGCTTGATCATCTGGGGGGAGGGCTTGCTTTATAGACAGTCCCACTCTCAAGAGTGGGAAAAAGAAACTAGAGCTGTTACAGTTACTTCTAGATCATCTCTTGCCCAGGTAATAATAGTAAGGTTTGCGCCATGCACTGTGCTAAATGCTGTTTGGGCACTGAGAGGATCTCATTTAGTAAACTGTTCAGAACCACTGCTATGGGGTGGGTAATTTTATCACCCCCATTTTATAGATGGGATGACTGGGGCTCAGCAAGGTGATGTGGCTTTCCCAAGGTCGCATAGCTGGTAAGGAGTAGAACAGAAATACAGCTCTGCTGGGAGTGGTAGAATCAAAGGCTGGGCTCAGAGGCCCTGCCTTGGACATAACTGAAGCAAAAATAGAAATAAAGAGATGAGAGCTAAGGAAAAGGCAGTATTTTATAGCTCAAACCCCTTATAAAAGAAGGCTGTTCAATTAGTTGTGAAGACAGAGTATTAGGCAAGCCGCTTATCGGCACCAAGAGGCATTTAAATCAGACCCAGGAAGAACTTCCACCCAGACAGCACTGGAGTGGGGTCCAGGGGGCATGTAGAATCTCACGCTCTGCAGCCTTTTAGTTTAGCCTTTTAGGCAGATCATTTGGCACCAGAATCATCTTTAACACCTGAAAGGTAAATGTGACTTCAGAGGGTGTGCACCCTGAGGTTGGGCAGGAATCTCAGAGTCCAGCATTCCCAGCCCCCTGCAAACAGGCATCCTGCAGGCAGAGTGCAGAGTGGAGGGAAGGAAGCCTGAGGATGAGGCCCCAGGAGGAGGACTGTCATGACTTTCCACACCCGCGCCAGCAACTGCTGCCACCACCAGCTCCACTTTATGGCAGGCATATTTCAAAGGCCCAGTTCCATTTGCATTTTTAAAACCCTGCTGATGGCCTGGGAAAATTGCATCCTTTCAGTGTTCCTGGGTACCACACTCTCCACCTCCTCCCTTTGCACCCTCCATTCCCAGAGGGTCCCCCACTAGGGGCAGAGCAAGGCCATCCCCCACTGGAGATCATCGTGAGATCCCAGAAGACCAGGCAGAGCTCCAGGGAAGGTGTGGCCAAGGCGGTCACAGCTGTGGCCAGCCAGCTGTGAAGCTAGGACCCCAGTCCACAAGAAATAGTTCAGAGGGGAGTGGGGGCTGTGTCCCCAGGCATGAGCTAGGGGTGGCATGGCACCCTGGGGCACAGAGTGGCATTCCCTGTCGATTTGTTGGACTGAGAGGAACAGTGGGGGCTTGGAGAACTCTGAGGAAGCGCCTGGAAGCAGCCTTCAAACCAACTGAAGAGAGTAAGCCATTTACCCAGCAAAGAATACCCCTGGTTCTCAGCTGGGCTTGGGAACATACTTTCTGTCCCCCCTATTGCTCCTTTAAAAACAAATCCTTTCCCTGTTCTCCTTCCTCCCACCTTCTCCCATGGCTCCACATTTCTGCCTTCCCTCGGGGATGTAGCAAGAGAGCCGGGACGTTTGCAGGTGGTGCCCCCTCTGCACTCATACGTCAGATTTGGCCTCTGATCTTGGGGCAGCGACACGTACAGATGTACAGTTTCCACTCCTCAGGGAGGCCTCCTGCCTCCCTCTCCTCTCTCATGGCCCAGAATGGCACACCAGGGCCTGCCCCAAACCTAATGTCATTAAGGCCAGATGGAGGCCCTGGGAGTCCCCTAGCAGGCTTGGCCAGTCTGGTGATGGCTCCCTTGGCAGTCCTGAACACATGGGGAGTGAGCGCCAGTGCAGGGACAAAGGCTTGGGCCATTTACTTCTGCATAGATGAGCTCTCAAGGCATCCAGGGTCATAAATACCAAGGAGTCTAGTTGGCAGCCAGCCAGCGGGCCCAGCTGCCAGGGATCGTGCGCCAGAGGGACAGAGCAGAGCGGCAGGTGAGAGACAGAATGGGGCTCCACTCAACAGACACCTTGAGGTCAGCGGTGCCTCCACCTCCATTTTTCTCTTTTAAAAAGAAGGGCTGGGGCAACTGGCAGGTGGTGAGTCCCCACGGGTGAGTTTTATTTGTGAAATCTCTCTGTTCTTACCTCTCCCATATGCTGGGAACTTTCTGAAAATAAGGGGTGTGTTTTCCCCACCTCTCTATCTCCTCTTTCTTGCTCAGCATGCACTTGAGGGTGTTTGAGAAACTCCTGGCTCGCCTCTCACACAAGAGTGGCAATGGCTACCATAAGTAAAACCCCTCCATTCCGCAGCTGGGAACCTGCCGTTGGTCCTCTTTGGAGGTGTCTGCCTTGACTCTCCCTGGGGGACGCCAAAGCCAATGCCACCCGAACCCTGATGAAGAGACATGGGCCGGCCACCAGCCTTGGCTCCCCAGCCCCTCCCCCATGTGGCCCTCTGGCCAGCGGTGCCAGACAAACCATATGCCACAGCTGGAGGGATGTCTGGTCCCACGGGCTGGCACAGCTCCGGGCTCTGGTGCCAGAGAGGTGAGTGGGGAAGGAGGAGGAAGGGACAGCGCCAGGAGCCCTGGCTTGGCAGCTCCTCCGGAGGGGATCGGTGATGCTCTCGAGTGTCCAGGAGGCTGGCGACCTGCCAAGGCTCTCAAGCGGGGGAGAAACAAGGGAACCTAGGAAACTCGGGGGCAGGGCAGAGGGCCTGGCGTGGGCCATTCGCACAGGAGGGGACTGACCCCCAGGGGTCGCTGCGCCGCTCGCAGCCCCCACCCGCCGGCAATGGGAGCCTGGTTGTACCACCGAGCGGCTCCCGCAGGGGGAGCGGCGGCCACGGTGGCGCCTAGCGGCGGGCTCCGAAGACAGCAGTGCTCCGCGGAGCGCGGGCCCTCGCCCACCACTAACGCAAGGTCAGGCGGCACGGAGGCCGGAGGCGCCACGGGCTGTGGGGCAGCGCGGCTCCAGAGCCTGCTCCGGACACCCCCACGCCCCATGGTAGGAGCCGGGACCCAAACAAAGGCGGGCGGCGAATAAAAGGCGGCGGCGGCGCCGAGTGCTCCCGGTTGCGCGCAGGGGACCGAGATCCTGACCAGGCTGCGGGCTGTCCGTGCGCTCTGGAGCGGAGCGGCGAACCTCGGCCTCCTGCAGCTCCAAAGAGCTCTCCCTGCGACTCCCTCGAGGGGACAAGTCCACAGGGCTGGGTGGCCGCAGCATCCGGCCCCTACGGCGCGCTTCCCTCCTGCACCCACAGCTCAGCCAGCTCAGCTTGGAAAGCCGAGGTGAGTGCGACGGCCGCTGGGTGCCATCCGAGTCGGGACGGAGGGGTGCATTGCTCAGCGGCGGGGGCAGGTCCTCCCTCCGCGCTGCCCCTCCTCGGCCTGCGCCCTGCTGTGTGTGAAGTTCTCCCGCTCTCCCGACAGCCTGGGATGCGGGGCTCTCACTCTCCACCCGGGGAAAGACGGCTGGCGGAGGGCAAAGCATTGCCCCCGGTGGCCGGGCCCCAGTTCCGCACCATCTCCCAGCGGGATCGGATCAGCCTCATTCTGCATGGGCCAATTTGATGTCCACAAACGGCGAGGCTTCCTACCTCCGGGGGAGGCTTCTGATTGGCCTCCTGCCCGTCCCTGCTTGTAGATGACTGATTCTGTAAAAGTTGAGTGTCGGTTTGAAGCAGCCCCGGATCGGGCCCGGCTAGAGCGGAGGGAGGGAACAGGAAAGGTGAATGACCTCAACATCCACTCCCTACCTTAGCGCACTCATGATTTCGGCGGGACATACCTATGTCCTGGGGCCCAACTAACCTGGCTGCAGGTGCAGCCGGGCGCGTAGGAGCTCTGGGGTAGACTGCGCGGGCGCGGGCGCGGGCGGGTGATGGAACCCGAGCGCAGAAGGGTCCCTGAGTCCTGCCGAGAACGCGAGTGAGAGTGGAGGTGGGATGGGCAGCCGGTCAGTAATGGCGCTGAGGGTCAGGGGGAAGATTTCTGGCACAAGTAGCCCGGAGTCCCATGAGCCAACCCAGCAGCTGGGAGAAGTTTTCCTAACTCCCCGGGAGGCGGGGCGCAGCTGAGCTAGGAAGGTGCCTTCTTGGAGGCTTCCTTCCCTTGGTCCCTCTGCTCCCCAGCCGGCGCCAGCTTTCCGCTGTCCCTCCTGAATCTGGGCGCAGGTCCCCTCCCGTCCATGACCTGGGTCAGCACCGCGGAGAGCTCCTTGAGGCGGCCTTTGAGATTCACAAGCCCCCGCGCGCGTCCACTGGCCCACGCAGACACACACACGCTGATTTATAGCCCAACCGCAACCAATTCCCGCGCATATTCATAGCCCACTCACACAAATATATATCCACCCACAGTCCTCACAATCCACACACAAGAGGGTAGATGCACACACACGTGAACAAACATAGATCTTCGTACAAGCACTTGCTATCCCTGCAGCATCTTCACTCCAGGGCCTGCTTTCTCCAGACATCTGAGTAAAAATCCCAGACCCCAGATCTCACCAGGGATGCTCACAGGGGTGCCCAGTGATTCACGGAGCCACTCAGCCCTCTCCCCCACCACACACACACACACACAGACACAACCCCACACCACACAGGCACCTGCACAAGGGCACACACACACACACACACACATACATATACACACACACACACTTCCTTCCGGGGAAGCAGTGGGTCACAGAGAAACACTCCTCCTGACCCCACTCCACCCTCTGCCCCCACAGTGCAGACCTGGGCAGGAAGCAGGGCATCTGCCAAATGGAGGGAGGAGGCTGTGGCCCAGTGCAGACTGCAGAAGCCTGGCCCTACAGAATCTCCGTTTTAGGCTGAGTTCATTTCCCTCAGTTCCCACCCCCAGGCCTGCTCCCCTTCCTCAGATCTCACTCCAGACAAATCCACAGCCAAGGTCCACACCTCTCTCTCTCGGCATCATTCTTTGCTTGCACTTCCTCTTTGTTTCCTTGCTCTGTTCTTCTCCCCCATGTTTATTCCACATACACGCGTTGTCTTTCCCAATTCCTCCTTCCCAGCCATCTTTGCTCTCTCCCCAACTGCCTTTACTCTCTCCCCAACTTTTCTTCAGCCTGGATCTGACCCAGTCAATCTTTTCTCCAGTGAGGGCACAGCTGACCCTTAGGGGAAGTTGACTCCAATCTCCTGGCAGATTCCATATCTCTACTCCTCTCTTTGGAAGTCTGACACCACGCCCCTCTCCACCGTGACCTCAGCAGTTTATGCCCCCTCCCTGAGATTTCCAGATGCCCCAGAGCCTCACAGGTTCTCTAAGGGGCCAGGATTCCTCTGTTCTGGGATCTCAGCGAGCCCCTGGGGATTTTGAAAGATCTGGTACTCAAGTCCTAGCTTGCCCTTTGATACCTTATTGCTGTTCCCTTAAAATCTAAACAGTGTTGAAAGAGGAAGCATCTGAGCAGGAAGGGGTGAAAGGACTGGTGTGGAAGTGAAGAGACGTCAGTCCTGTCTCAGCTTGGCCATAGAAGCCCAGTGTGTCCCTACGCAAATTATTTCCCTTCTCTGAGCCTCATGCTTCCCCTCTGTACAAGTACAGGGTTGGGTGAGTGACCTTCAGGGGTCCCTGTTTGGCCCTAATAATGGGCAACATGGACTCTCTTGTGAGTCTCTTGAGTGTGGGTGAAAACTGTGGTTTTAACCCCAAAGGTGGTCATGCCTTTCTCCTTCCTCATAGCACACACAGTTGGTGAATCCATCCTATCTTCTCTGAATGTGAGATGTTCAGATGATTTCCTTTATAGGACCAGAGACGTCAAGTTATTTTCTTGAGGTCATGTCACTGAAATGCAATCTCCACCAGGGCAGGCACTGATGCTGCTGTCAGTATATCCTCTGCATGAAACACTGGTTCTGGTGAATGAATGCATGCATGAATGAATGAATGAATGAGCAGAAGAGCAGGGACTTAACCCTGGATCTCTTGACTCCCCCTGAGCCTTGGAATTATGGTTTAAGCCTTTTCTCTGACAGTTTAGACATGTTTTTCTTGTGTCCTCATCTCCCCTTTCACTCATCTGGTCATTCAAAGGCAGATGAAGTTGTCTGAGTGAAGGCCTTTTTCTCCTTTAAGGCCACCCTGGGCTGGTTGTAAATGACTACAGAGAAAGGGCTAGATGAGCAGCTTTAAAGGACTGCCTGGTAGGCAGAAGCTTGGCAACGAGCCCCAAGTCCCTAAAACTCAACCAAGTAGGTTGTTCCTGGGCAGATAGCCAGGATCTGAGACGGGGAGGGAAGACAGTCATAGCTACCATGTAGCTGAGCAGCCATTTCTTATGCCCCTGAGCTGCAAAAATCACCTTTACAGATAAGTAACATGAAATGCTGAAGGATGCGGTGGTTTCCCTAACGGCAACCGCCAGCCCACTGTCAGTAATACAGATACCCAAAACATGGTGGTGGTGGCTGCAGTGGCTGATAATAACGTCATTGGTGTTGATGATGATGGCAGCATTATTGTGATTGAAACCTTAATGGTTGGCCTCTTTGATTTCCTTTTCCTCTTTGAAATTATTTCCCCACCTGAACCTCTATGCTCCTCCCCTTACCCAAATGTGGAGAAACTGAGGGCTGGGCCAGTGAGGCAGGGATGTCTGATTGCTGGTGTGTCCCAGCTGAGGCAAAGGGTCGTCATTTGAATTCCTTCCCCCTGGCCAGCCTTCCGCAACCCTAGCATGTCTCCTACCAGAGGAGCCAGGAGTGATGTCAAAGTCTGTCAAAACACCCTTCTAAGCTGGGCTCCAAATGCAAAGCCCAGAGAAAATAAATAAAGAGGACAGTGTTGGCCCAAAATAGAAGCTTGCACCAACTCACAAATATTCATGTTCTCCAAAAGTCGCATTTTATGGGCAGGCAGTGCAGCTCACCCTCCAGCTGCTTGACAAAGACAGGAGGGATGGATGCTGCAGGACTGGTCCAGGGAAGGGGGCAGAGGCTCCCCCCTGCAAGCTCACTCCCGGCTCACGGGGGGACCAGATGGCCACTCCCACTCGCCATCTGGAAGGTACATGGGTGGGAGGACCATGATCAATATGTCTGTGTGACAGTCACAGCTCTTTGGAAATGGGCACCAGACAAGGGGGATGGCCTTGGGTCCTCCACCTTTCCATAGCAGCAGCAGACTGGTCATGGCATATTGACAAGAATAACTGCTGTTGGTTGAGTACCTATTATGTGCTACGTACTAAGCATTTACACATCCTGCCTCATTTAACCTTGCAACCATCTCATGGCAGATGGATTGTTATCCCCATTTACTATATGGGAAAACCCAAGTTCAGAGAAATGAAGAGGCTTGTGCAAGGCCAGGTACCTAGAAGAGGCCAAGTTGGGATCAGATTTTGATTTGAATGAATGAGGAGCCCCCATTTTGTCCAGTATTTTGCACTGTTTCTGTATTCATTCATTCATTCACTCAATAAATATTTTTTCTAAAGAAACTCATTTACGTGATGCTTCTCAAAAGAACATAAATTCCTCTGCTGGCTGGGCCAGGGTGAAAGGCAGTACTGTCACCTGAATTTACCTCTGGCCATCTCTCAGTTCCTTAGGACGGGTACCTAGGGCTTGTGGCCTTGGACTGGGTGCGTCACCTCTGCACCTGGGGCTCTGTCCTGAAGCACAAGAGCCCAGACCTGTCTGAATGGGCTCAAGCCCCACTTAAGGCTTGGACTATGAAAAACAATTTAACTCCATAAGAGGTCAGGGCTACTGGAGGCCTCTGCAAGTGGGGAAGTTACTTCAGAGAGAGCAAGTTAGTTATCCAGCACCACACAGCACATCGGTGCAGAGCCTGAAGCTCAGAATCCCAGGCCAGCCTGCCATGTAGTCCAGGTTGGCCTCCTTGAGGGTGTGGAAAGCATTCAGACGGCCTAGTGACGGGGACTGGATCGATGTAGGCAGTAAACCGAACACCTCCCTTCCCTTCTGCGTGCAGAGGTGAGATGCAGCTGGCTTTCACTGAGTGGGCTCTCCTCTGCATCTCCTCAACCCCCCAGGTCAGGCCTGATCCTGCTGATCTGCCCCAGGTGTCCACCTATTCATCATCACGAACAAAAACGCTAACAAATACGAAACATTTGCCACACGCCAGGCACTGTGCTAAACGCTTTACATATATGCACTGTTGTAATCCCCACAACAACCCAGAGGTAGGTGTTCTCCATATTCTCCTTCACAGCTTAAGTAACTGAGGCTGGAGAGGTGGACTCGCCTGCCCAAGGTTACACAGCTCGTAAGGACGCAAGTGAA